CCTGGAAGAGGGAGCAGGGGCCGACCAACACGAAGATGGGCACAGCATATAAGTGACTCCTTGAGTTTGAAAGAACATGAGGCGGGACAGCTGGCGAGAGACCAGGCAGACCATGAGGAGAGCGACGTTCTGCAAAGGACTTGCTACAGGATGATGACTAGAGAACTCGAAGCCGTGCCGTTTTGTAGCATTACGGCTTGATATGCTCTTGTCTGTTTCTTCTTGACGTCCTCTTTAACCGCTTGGGGTGTCGAGGGAGATATAGGGTCCTGCTTCGTGCTCTTCTGGCTGCTTTAACCATAGACACATTGTGGTGCTGTAGAGTTTCTCTGATGTTATCTTCCCATAATGTTCTTGGTCTACCTCTTGCTCTACATCCTTCTTCTCTTTCGGTATGTGCCTTGTATGGTATAGCATCAGGTGGCATTCTCTCCAAGTGGGCAAACCGTTTGATTTGCTGTCTTTGTATGTAATTTAGAATTGGTTCTGTACCGACTTGTTCTCGTGTGACCTCAGTCCTGATTTGATTTCTTCTGGTCACACATACAGTCTTTCTCATACAATTCATTTCCATGGTTACTCATTTTCTTCTTTTAGAGATGCTCAACTTGCCTAAACTAATCTTGGCTCCAAGGTCAGTCTATCCTAAAATGAGTCATGGACAGTGTTGGGCTAAGAACTGACAACATAGCACTTGGGACATTCTCATAAGCCCTCCGTTCTCATTTTTAGCAGCCAGCAAAGAGTTCAAATTTCCATGGCGCCAGTAACAGTTTATTATATGTTCGTCTCGTTTTTCCTCTCTTATAGAATGTCGACCAGATCCACTGGTCACTTCATAAAAATGTGAGTCTACCATCATGTGCCCGATGAACCACTGACTTACGATCAAAATGGAGGACTGGGTATGGCAGAATGTTAAGCTACGAAGTTGTTTTTTGCTTTCGACAGCGCTTTGTTAATGCAGTTTCTAAATGGGCGGTAGTCTACGGTCTTGCTGCCTGAGCTACTGAGTTTAGTCCTTGGTGCAGCGCTGTTGAGTCGTGATATTCAATATGAATATCACGACTAATTAATTGTTACTGTAGTATGCACCTGACGAGATACAGCGAAATATGCCAGGCAATAAATTGTGCAGTCTATTGTTTGTGTCTTCTTTGTTCAAATTCACATCGGGGAAACATTGCTTTGATTATCTGAAACGTCGCCTCCCACAATCAACTGTGAAGCGACTGGATGGATTATTTAAACTGTAGTGTAAAATCGCAGTACAGGATTGTCAATTACGGTTTCTTAGATAATGCCTTATATCTGGGATATTTCCTCACAGTTATCTTAGATCGCTGAGAGCTGAGAAAATCTGCCCAACGGTATGAAATTTGAGGCGTATGACGAAAAAATTACATAGAAGAAATTCAATCGAAATTGATCAATCTAAGGCGAATTCACAGTTCGGCCTACAACATTACTAGCGATCTGACTCTGTATTGTCATTTAAAGTTCACAAAGTTTTGAATTGAAACAATGGGTAAAGTGAAAATTTAAGAAACTACACGTTTAAAGAAGTCATTGAGTTCGGAAAACGATTTCCTGGTCTGTGCTTGACAATCCTGAGAAACATGTGATCAATTTGTCTTCGTTTACACTTAGTAAACTACAAACTGAAGCTATTGCTTACGGATTAAAGTTCTGCATAAAACCTAAACAAATCAACCCCATCGAGTCACAAGCTCAATTTGAAATGTTCTTTGATCAGCTGTCGACATTGACCGCGTCGTCTACCGATTCGGTTGGTTGGTTAAAAGCTAGATTGGTGGATTTAAAACATCAGTACCTCAAATCCCAGTCTAAGTAAAAGTGTCCATTTTGTAAAGAGCATATTATTGCTCTGATAACATTTAAATCCAACGAACAATTAATAATACTGAAACCAGACAAAGGAAATGGTGTAGTTCTGATGGGCAAGTCAAACTATCAGACCAGAATGGAAGAAATATTATCTGATCAATCAAAATTTCTGCTGGATTCCAAAGTAAATAACGTTAATAACATGGAAGCGAAAATGAAGAAAGTAATCAAATCACTCTTGGCAGGAAAATTCTTCAGTGAAGCTACCGCTAAGATGCTCACAACGTGTGGCTCACTAATACCGCAGTTGTATGGTCTTCCAAAAGTACACAAACCTGGCATGCCCCTTAGGCCTATCCTGTCGATGATAAACTCGGCTCAACATGGTTTGGCTAAATGGCTAGCGGAATTACTAAAACCAGTATGACAATCATTTGAGCCCAAAATACTCAGAGATTCATTTGAACTGGCAGAATTACTAGACATAATGAATGTAAATCAAATATACATGGCATCAATGGACGTAGCATCACTATTTACAAACGTGCCCTTGGAAGAAACCGTGAAAATTATATGTGACCGTATAGAAAATGAAAATCTGCAGGTAGGTTTACCTATTTCAAAACTTGAGGAACTTTTACTGTTGTTTACTTCGAATATCAATTTCAGTTTTCTTAAGCAGTCTTACCGCCAGATTGACGGTGTGGCCATGGGAAGCCCTCTAGGCCCTATTCTAGCGGACATCTTGATGGCACACCTGGAGGAACAGATGTCTTTGGACATTGATAGTTTAGTATTTTACCGACGTTACGCGGATGACATACTTATCATCGCCACAAACAAACAACAGGCAGAGTCGTTTCACACCAAAATAAACCAAATGCACAAAAACACCACTGTGTCCCTACAACATGAAAGTAGCAACACCTTGGCTTTTTTAGACATTTTAATAAGACGTAGAGATGATGGCACTATTGAAAGGTCAGTTTATCGTAAAGACATTTGGACAGGCCAGTACATCCATTTCAACAGTTTTGCACCTATGCTATACAAATGTGGTCTAGTGAGGACATTATTCCACCGTGCTAGGAAGATTTGTTCCATTGACAAGCTACAAGCTGAGTTTAAAACGATTAAACAAACACTGCTTTCTAATGGATATCCAGGTGGCTTTATAAGGTGCCATTGCCAGCCGCCAAAACCAATTACCTTAGAAATGTCGGTGCCAAAAAAAAAAACTAGCCTATATACATCTAACGTTTCGGGGAGACGACGTCATGCAACGTAAATATGACCGACTCAAAACAGCAGTCGGTCATACCTTTTACGCAGCCATGCCTGTTATGAGATTTAAAACCACCATGATTCCTACACCACCAGTAAAAGAACCAGTGTCGACGAACGCCAGATCTAATTGTATTTACCAATTTAAATGCACCTGTAACGCTTCATATGTGGGCAGAGCTGATCGACGACTGGAGCAACGGGTTGCTGAACATATTCCACTATGGTTGGTAAAAGCAATGCAGAACACTAACACCTCAACAACAAGGAATCAGGTGACTGGTCGAAATAATCCATCATCAGCAATTGTGCATGCCATATTCTAAATTCCGGGCACATCATTACCAGGGATGATGCATTTCGAATTATTTACAATTCGGCCAACCGTAGATTACTTCGATACGCGGAAGCCTCCGCGATTGGTCGATTGAAACCGGATCTATGAAGGCAAAAAGAAATGGTCATTTCCCTACGCTTACCTTGGTGAAACAGTTTGAAATGTACTCGAATTTGTGTTTCAGTTTCTAGGATTCAGCTATTTGCTTCATTTTAATTAATTGTTACTGTAGTATGCACCTGACGAGATATAGCGAAATATGCCAGGAAATAAATTGTGCAGTCTATTGTTTGTGTCTGTTTTTGTTCATATTCAATATGGCCAATAGCCGGTTTACGTGTGGAATGATGAAATACCTTTACCTATGTAATAATTATACTTATGTATAGCCAACTTATCGTGCTCGACTACTTCCATCAACGACAAACTGCATTTCTGGTAGCGACTGTTAGCTTTGGCGTGCCTAGGAACTGCCATATGTATTTATTGCATGCGCATACTTCTGGATTGTTCCGGGACTAATTATTCACTAGTTTTTCAAATGGGACAGTGAAGGACAATTAATTTGATTTTCAGTGCTACAGGAACATAGCAAATATGGGAAAACCCAATTGCAGCGAAGTTGAAACCTCGACTATGACAGACTGAAACTATGAACACTGGCGTATAAAGGTCATTAACCTGACATACTAGAGAAATCAGACCGGATGTATATCGGACACAGATTAAACTGTCAACTGACATGTTATGTAGGAGATACACTGCAGATAATCTACATATTACAAATATTATAGGTACGTGAAAGCGAAATACTACTGGCTGCAATCGTAAGCATTCTTTCCATTCCTTCTGTTTAGCTTTCTAGGTATAGTTTCTGTTTTATTTAGTATTCAGGGAAACACTTTATAGTCTTATCGGAGCCGGTCTGGCGTAGTAGCTAGTCGCTCGACTGCGGATTCAAAGTTTGTGGGTTTAAATCCGAATGCAGCAGGACTTTTCAATACAATCTCATTGGCTCCAAGGTTGACGCAACCTTAAATGGTTATCAGGTAAACTCATGGGAAGTCAAGACGGCTGGTTTGATGTTGACCACAGAACCCGTGTTGAATGGTCTATAAATGATGTGTCCACTATATACCCAATACACTCGAATGTGGGGAAAATTCTCCTTGACTTTTTTTTACACGGTTAATCTTTCCTCCTCAGCCTAGGGCTGCGCAAAAGGCAGAGGTCATAGCTCTCCGTGTCTGGCGGTTCGTTGCCACCTGTCTTAGATATTTGTCAGGTCCATGATTAAGCCTTCCCTGATGATGGTTCTACGAAAAATCTCTCTTGATATTCCCCTTTTTCTTTTCCTTTCCGGTGTCCATATGAGGGTTTTATGGACGAGTCTCATGTTATCTATTTTTAATGCATGGTCAATGTAGTTCTAGCGGCGTTAAAAAAAATGCATTATGTTGCTTGATCTATTGTCTTATTTGCGTATTACAGTCTTGTACTCTCAATTCTGACATTTGTCTGTGATTTCTAGTCGCTGTTTTGGGAAGAAACCAAGGACTTCACACACAGACTAGCCAATGACGGCAAACGTTATGTCCCCATAGAGTCCACTCTCATCGGGTATGTAGCAGATGACCTCACCTGGTGTGGACAAACCTCTGCCCCGGGGATCAACTTCACCTACTGCCCGCCATATCATTCTTGCTCCAACGAAGTTATGTTCGATTTTTGGGTGGCAGCTTCCAAATGGGTGAGTCAACTACACTGTGAAGTGATTTTGATTTGTACCAATATCTTCGCCACCCTCATCACCACTATCGTCATCCTCATCATCAAGCACCATCATCATCACCACTACCGCCATTATCATTATCATTGCAATCAATATCTGTGCCAGCACCAGCACCACCACCACCACCACCATCACCATCATCACCAACATCATCAAGTGATCGTTCTTCATTGTTATTTTAATTCTCTAACAACATGTATCAGTTTTGTAAGAATTTGTATAAACATTACATTAAAGAAATACATTAATTAATGTCTTTTAATCTCAACCAACGTACCATGTGATTGTTGTCGGGGCGGCCACAAGAGCAAGGAACACAACCATATATCTCACTCGACACACGAAACTTTAAAACAAGAAGTAAAGTAGAAGAATCTTTTCGGGAGGAAATTTGGTAAAATGTAAATTATTATTGTAAAATTAAAATATCGGCGCCTTTTCCAAGACTACGAGGCGTAATAATGTACTTAATAATGGTCCCATATCTTCTTCTTCTTATTTGCGTTCGGTTTCGTATGCTCAGATCAGACCATCAGGTGGGTTGCCTCTATGAACTCGCATGTCAGTAGCAGGTCCTTCCTGGTTCCCCATAGCTTGCTCTGCACACTTTGCTTGAGGCCAGGTGTCTTTTCGAAGTTGTATGTAGAATTGGCAGGTCTGCAGAATGTGCTATGTGGTCCTGTTTGACAGGCACACTGTGGGGACAGTACAATCTTTATTTTATGCATGTGGTAGTTGAGCCTGCAGTGTCCTGTTTGTAGACGGAAAATTGTTGTATGTTGCTTTCTGTTGAGTCTGCTGATCGGGTCTTGTGGATGTTTACTGTTAGTTTTTTCTCTCTCCACAGTTCCTTATATTTTCCCTTGATAAGTGTTCTGATTTCTGGTAAGGACAGTAGATGGGTGTTTTGTTTCTCCTTTGTTCCATTTTTAGCAAGTCTGTCTTGCGGTATGCCGCAGTGAGCCGGGGTCCACTGGAGAATAATCTGATTGTTTTCTGCGAGTCTGTTTAGCTGGCGGGTCAGTTCAATCTCTATGTTGTCTCGTGGATCCCTCTGAGTCGCCTGGAGGACTTACGTGCAGTCACAAAGGAAAACAATTTTGCGTTTTTTTATTTCTTTCCTCAAGCACTTTGGCCAAATCAATAATTGCTTACTGCTCTGAAGTTTGTGGAGATGATGTTTCTACTGTGGTTCCATCTTGCAGCATGATGACTGATTCAGGTCGTCCGTTTTTTTTTCTGCTTCCTCCAGTGATCCATCGGTGTAGTGTCCATTTGGGTTTTGGATAACATTTGTAGACATGTTTGAGGGGCTTTGCATGCAGTACTAGGTCACATTCTTCAGCCTTTCTGTCTATGCCCGAAATTGTTGTTGTGACTGTATAGTTAGGCTGTAGGTCTATTCTGTATGCCTGGATCATTTTCCATGTTGAAGGATCTTTAAAAATAATGTCACTGTTTTGTGTGTGTGTGTGTGTGTGTGTGTGTGTATAGTACAATTTTGATAGACGGTGAAAGCTTTGTCTTTTCAGTCGGTTTTTAGTTAGGTTATTTGCTATTCTTTCCATGGTTTTGTTTATGCGTTTAAATTTTTCTCTTAGGGTAAAAACATTGTCTTTCCTTAAAAGGCTCAAGCTGTGAAGGCCAGAAGTTGCCTCCAGCTCACAGACTGGTGTGCTTCTTATACCTCCAGTGACGATTCTGAGACCAGTGTTATGTATTTTGTCCAGTTTGTGTAGGTTTGATTTGGCTACAGTAGAGTATGATCCCATACCATACTTCAGTTTTGGTCGTACGTATCCTGTGTATACTTGTCGTACAGTGTTGGCATCTACACCCCAGCTTGTTTCTGTAAGTTTCTTTATAAATCTGAGTCCCAGGGTAGCTTTCCTTTGGATGTCTTCAATGTGGGGTCCCAAGGATAGTCTTTTGTCAAATGTTACTGCCAAATATGTTGATTTATCCACGTTTGGAAGGACGTTAACTTCTAGGTACATATTAACTTGTTCTGGCTTTGTGGAAAGAGAGAAGAATGTTTAGACGGTTTTTGTCTGGTTTATTGTGACTCCCCAGAAGCCTGTCCATTTCTTGTTTTAATTGTTCCTATGTGTTTAGCCTGGGTCCACATGGCCAGGTCATCTGCAGGTAGAGCCTTGTGAATGTGAGTCTTGAGCTGTTTTTGGAGGTAATTTATGAAAGGGATAAACAGGGTGGGAGATATAATACCTCCCTGAGGGACACCTTGTAACCTGACCAGCTTGCTCTTGATTTCATCCAGTTTGACTCTCGCACAGCGTCTGTAAAGAAAGTCTCTAATCTAGGCAAATATATTATCATTGATCCCATTGTGTGCTAGTTTTAGCATGAGTCCTTTCTTCTAGTCGCATATTATATAGAGAATTCACGAAAATAACTGATTGCCCACTTCAGATAGTGTTGTCAGAAAGCCTTTATTCTTTGGTCATGTCATGAGAAGCAGAAAACTGGAATACATCGCGATGGTGGGAAAGTTGGAGGGGAGGAGAGGCAGAGGGAGACAGAGAGAAAATATCCTTGACAGTCTGACATTATGACACAAAAGATTGCAAGAAATGATTGTAAGTACACGAGACAGAAGGTTGTGAATAGACATCACTATCAACATTACGCGGCATAGACTCAAAGAAGAAGAAGAACATCTAGAGAAACCAACATAAGACAAGCCATGTGCTCATCATCAAACCGTTCACCTTTACTTTCCAGAACACTTCCTGATGTCAGTTTTAGACTGTATTGATCTGAAGCCTAGGTAAATTTGACTAACTAATGCCATTAACAAAATTATACTGGGAAAGAAAAGGAAGAGTTAAACTTTTAAAAATAACCGTGGGGAAAGTGCCGTTTGAAAACCTAGTTGAACACAGAAGTCAGCATCGATAAAGCTGCTTTTAGTTGAATAAAGCCAAATAAAATTTAAAAAAAAAACAGTTGCTTTTAGTTGAATAAAACAAAATAAAATATAAAGTATTTCTTAAAAAAATTTGAACTCTCAAGGATGAGAAGCAAACAGCTAAAAATCCAGGAAACCCGGTTCAACCGTACAGTCACATAGCGAATATATAGACACATAGCACACTTATAGCCACAGAGCAGAGTTATAGTCACATAGCACATGTATAGCCACATAGCACAGTTATAGCCACATAGCACACTTATAGCAACATAGCACAGTTAAAGCTACATAGCACACGTATAGCCACATAGCACATTTATAGCCACATAGCACACTTATAGCAACATAGCACAGTTAAAGCTACACAGCACACGTAAAGCCACATAGCACAGTTATAGCCACATAGCACACTTATAGCCACATAGCACATTTATAGCCACATAGCACACTTATAGCCACATAGCACATTTATAGCCACATAGCACAGTAATATTAGGGTGCCATGAAACAGTTACGAAATAACCTGTAGGCCAGCGTGGGTAGGTTGAAATTAATTAGAATAAATTAAACTAGTTATATATAAATATATATGGTACTGAGGCGCTCCTGACCGTGAGAACTGATTCCACAGGATTCCTCAGGAGTCAAAGTTCAAGGCCACTGTCATAACTAATTATTGTGTGTTCCACAGTTCGCATCTCATGCTCAAGGTGAAGTACGCGTTGTTCTGAACGGCTCACTGCCTGCTGGGGTAGCGTACGGAAGAAACAGGTATGATATTTGTAGAGTTCTTATACACGGTAGTCAATTATTTGAGAACCGTAATTAAATGTGTGTATTACGTCATGTTTCAAGCACAATGCAACCGGTATATATCTGTGTTTTAGCAACTAGGGTAAATTCTATGAATTACCCCCCCCCCCCCCACCCCCCACTAGGTCACTTTTGATTGGTGCTTGCTCATGCTCGTCAACTTGCTGAAGGTGACGGGGGTGTCCCGGTCTACTGTTTGCTCGAAAAGCTTTTTTGCGTTGTCTTCCATAAACGTTTTCATTCCGAGAAAGAGAATGCGTGCGACGTAGGTTGCAGCACTCTCGTAGGGGAGTTTGTGTTAGGGTCAGTCCTGCAGGTTTTTGGAGCTTTAAAAGCGCTGACATGCTCTAATATACAACACCGTTGACGATAAGGAGGAGCGGAAGAAGGAGATGGAGAAAAAGAAGGAAAAGAAGAAGAAGAAGAAAAAGAAGAAGAAGAAGAAGAAGAAGAAGAAGAAGAAGAAGAAGAAGAAGAAGAAGAAGAAGAAGAAGAAGAAGAAGAAGAAGAAGAAGAAGAAGAAGAAGAAGAAGAAGAAGAAGAAGAAAAAGAAGAAGAAGTGAAAAAGAAGAAGAAGAAGAAATATTAGGAAAAGAAAAGGTTTTTCTGTGATGCCCATTTTGGGTTACATTTCGTATCTTAGTAAGAAACCTCGGTTAACATGAAATATTACATGTTTCACAGCGTATTTGCATCTGTAGAGCTTGCGAACTTGAGGAGCGGTATTGTCACAAAACTTACTGCATTACTTGTTCATGATCTGGACAAACCTAAAATGTAAGTAATTTTTTTTTTTGGGGGGGTTTTGTTTGTTTGTGATTTTGCACTCTTTCTTTACAATTTCATTACCACAAAGTAAACGACAATATATTTCCATCATCCACATATTAAAAAAAATTTTTTATAATTATTGTGTAATCCAGTTTCGTCCTTTTTAGGATGAAAATTTTTGTTATTTGAAGCCCCTCCCTGGCTTTTGCCAGGGGTCGCAATATAGGCAGGCCTTAAATATGGTCAATTGTCTGAACGCGGTTTCTGGGACCTCTTCACGGCGATCCTCATCCACATGGTGGCACTTTGTGTCATCGGGTGTTTATCGCTTGTGTGATGTCCTAGTGGGGTAGAAAGTCAGTCGGTCAGTTATTTAAAAAAAAGGCGCATATATTTTAAAGTTTCCTGAGTTTAGATGGTTTAATTTTAAATGGTAGGGACCTTAGGGCTTTGTGTAGTTTAGTGTTTCATCTAGTCTAAATCCGGATCTGCGTAAAGCCATATTCGGGCACAGTTTTAATGGGCGACTACAAAACGATTACTAAGTAACCTATAGTCCATTGTGGATGGGTGTAGCGTTGATCCTGTTTCCACGAATCCACCACAACACCTAATTCATTCATTTCCCACTTGCACATATTTTTATACCCTAATAAATCTGACCTCGGCATCTTCTACCCGCTTGAAATTCACCATAGAGGATTGTTGGAGACTCATATTCGCACATTGTACACCGTATTGAATGAATGACTTCTGGGTTTGTATGTACAGTGTCACAATAGACTTTGTATGTTATTTGTGTATTTCAGTAAACAGAATTGATTTGTTTGCTCAACTGTGTGTTGATATCACATCTTTAGTAATGGAACTAAAAAGATATAGCGATATAGAATCAACCTCATCATAATCATCATCATCATCATCGTGGTCGTCATCGTGATCATTGCCATCATCATCTAGTGCCTCGTAAACTGGTGTGTGCGATTACGCCTCTCCATAATCGGCGATCTTCAACAGCATGTATGTGTTTCTGTGTTGACCCCCCTCTATTCCACGAGGAAAGACTGTCAAGAATATTCTCACGCTGTCTAAATCTGTCTCTTTTTCCACAAATCTTTCCAGAGGTCACATGTTTCAGTCCCCTTCTTCTCATATCCTGACCAAAAGATTATAATTGTCTCTGTATGATGTTTTTGATAAATTGTCTTTGAATTGTCGCGTCTTTCAGAACTTCTGGGTTGTTCTTTTTTTGGCTGTCCGAAAGATTTCTTTTGAAAAGCCACATCTCTTAGGGGGTCAAGAAATTGTTTGGTTTGTGTGTTAATTACTCTATGAATTTGTACAATACATTGCACCTTCGTTATTTAAATTGTTATAGTGAAGAAGAAAATTTTTTTTTTTTTAAAATTAATGAATTAAAAAAAAAATTTTGTCTTTTCTGTAGGGAAACTTGTGGATCACAATCACTTCTTGATTTAAAAGCTGATGTGCTGGCAAAAAACATTGCATTTGATTGTCTAGAAAATCCACCGTAAGATTGTGTCCTATGTTTGTCACATGTTGGTTTGTAAGGCCTTATTTGAAGTGGAGGAGGAAAAATTACCGCGAAGATTTGAGCTTCAAGAGTGACTGACAAAACCATTTTTTCGGGAAATGAAATTTGTCGGCCTTAGTAAACAGCTTTTATTTACATCTCGAGATTGTGCGCAGTTAAAAAGCATAAAATTTTATGACAAGCGCATTTCGTACTTTAATTGTACAGTTCAACACCAGTAGGGATAGGTTGCAAAAAAACCTAGACAATTACCTATTTATGGTGTTGTGAGAATATTTTTGATCCATTCTAAAGTGGATCAGAGTATTTAGAGGTGGGGATATCCAGAACAATAGCTCGGTTTTTAAATGAAAAAAGGGGGAGTGGTTGTGGGGGCGGGGGTGGGGCACCCAAGTTCAGAGATTAAAGTAGAGACTAAGAATGAAAAGAGGGGCAAGTTAATTGCATGGGCGTAGTTTAATCGCCGCTCCATGGATGACCTAGCCATCAAGTATAGCTAGGGGCTGCGTCAGCGCAGTCGATAGGAGACTCACTTTCAAATCCAGCTGCGACTCGCTGCAGCCCACGGCCGGTGTTCGAAACCGGGCGGTTCCCAGGGAAATGGCTACCGGAGTTAACTCTCTGGGGTAAATGGAGGAACGTTGCTGTAGCTACGGAGTTTCGTGCGGATGGCGACACAGACGGACAGTTTCTTCTTAGCTGTCCGTACTGGTGGCAAAGCAATTATGATTTATAATCGTCTGCAATGACGCTGGTTAACATCTCCCGACTTAACCTTTACCTTTTTTTACTTTTGTTTTCAGATATATTCCCATGTGTCGACCTTAGTGTCCTGGCTATTTATATTAAGTTAAATCCTGATATGGAATTGAGCTCAAGACCATAGGGGCCGTTATATAGTGTAAGGTATTCTAAAGTCAAAATGACAAATAATCATTTCAGAAACCAACACAGTTAGGTTAGAGCACACCATTAGGGTCACGAGAATAAACACTACCAGGTTCACAAATACGGGGACACTACCAGTGTTCATGTTTTATTTGCTCAGCTAACTCTGTTAGTTCAGCCCCTTGGAGGTATCAGCTTTGGTCTCTGAATGTCACTGGTTCGAAGCTTTGACGCAATTAGTGTAAGACTGTAATATGTATCATTACCAGCACGTCTATCATTTTCCTTCATTGTTTTGTTTTGTTTAGTTCCTTAGTGGAAAATGATTTGCAGCAGTTTTACATTCGGACTGGCAAAGTGCCTTATGCATTAATATTGTGTGCGTACAGCTAACTTGTCATGAATGACTACTTCCATCAAAGACAAATTACTATTCTGATACGACTGTTGGCTTTGGCAACTTTAGCGGGTTACCTTATGCATTTTTTGTGTGTGCATGTTTCTTGATTTTGCCAGGACTAATTGTTTATAAATGGGACAGGGAGAGGCATTTCCTCCGATTTTCACTGGCACATCAATTGATAAATTTTAGGATGTCCCGTTTGAAGTAAAGATGAAACATTGACTACAGACATACGACTATTATAAAGAACTAGGTTGAAAACTTAGATTTTTATCGGCGACTGGGTCGCCCATTGGCTCACCGGTAGGTGACTTCGACGCCAGTCGGGACAATATTTGTTTCTGCCTCTGGAACTCGCTTCAACAGCATTGCAAGTCCTTTTCATGACTACTTGATGGTGAGCAACGCTAAGCCATTTTATATGACACACAAAACCCTAGTCACAACTATAACCTAAAGCTCCCTCTTCGGGGAGACTGGTTGAACATGACGTTTTCTTTACTTGCAAAGCAGCCCGCCTGCCAGACCTAGATTTTTAAAATTAGTAGTTCGTAAAATAGTTCACGATTCACTTCCGCACTTCCGTATAATTCTATATGACAGATGCATTTTCTCAAAATGTACTTGTTGTATTGAAACTCTTTCAGGGAAGTGAAATACTTACTATGTGCAGATCTCCCAGAGAGTCCCGAGTGCAAGCAAAATGACTGTGGAAATCTTCCACCTTACAACCGAGGTTCAGGCGTGGTCACTGGAAGCAAGGAAGGCCTCTGTTCAATACTGCTATATTTGGCGTTAACGTCTGTCGTCATCTCCATGGGCAGATAATTCATTACTGACAATTACTGTTATTGTTTGTGTATGATACTTTATAAAAAATAAGTACAACAATGACTGAAAACAGTAAATTTAGTTTTGACAACAAAGTAAAGGCGAGAGGACTTCATTGCACCGGATTTTATCCCGTGTGGCTCAGTCTGTCTTCGCAGAACAGCTAGCTGCCTGCCCAGAGCGTCGCTTAAAGTGCAATCTCAGTAGCTCCGGCAACGATCCCCAAGGATATCTGTAAAAATTGCACTAGTAAACGAACCCACAACCTTCAGAGTGCGAGGCAAACGGCTTAACCATTTTTACGAACACAATTATTTGTGAATTATTTTAGTATATTTTACCAATTTAATAGTTGTTCTACGGTGTCTTTTCCTTATTAAAAAGAACTAATTTTTTTTAAGAATGTGAATAAACGTGAATGTAATTATGTATATGGTTCTTTATTGTGTGTGTTAAGAAACACTTCCATTTTCACTGAGACATCTCCCTAATTGTCGCCCCGGCGTTGGCGGCTAGACACTTCCCTTGCTGATCGAAAGGTCATGGGTTCGCGTCCTGACGACGCCGGACTTTTTTTTTCTTCTTCAAAAATAACATTGACTTCCACCTCGACCCAGCCTTGAGTGGGTACTATGTGCAGTCCTGGGGAGTAAAGGCGGCCGGCGTGATGCTTTTCACATCACCCGTCAAGTGCCGATTGGTCAATAAAAATATGTCTAGCACTATATTCCCAATTCGCTTAAGGGCGGGGAGAAGGGTCTTTTACGTTTACTATCTCCGGGATTACTTGTGTCTACCCTGTGTTGGTTCCGGGGCTCCATTTTTTAGAATAGACTCACTACTCCCTAACAAGCATGTCGTAGGAGGCGACCAATTAGTGGTGTTTCCTTCAAAGTCAGAGTGCATTTACCTGACAGACAAGAAACTAGCAGTGTGTATTACAAATATATTAGTAGAAAATCGTTTTCCTGGTTATCGTACGACGGTACGACAGTCACACCTTCTCGTTAAGTAATTTTCGAAAAGACAGCAGTGCTAACACGGTAGCAATCTGTACTAAGGAGAAGGCAGAATACAGTTGGTTTCTCTATGGTAGACCACACAAGGAGAATCTGATCATATTGCATTATATATAAATATGGTGTCACCATTCTTACCCAGGCGTGGGCAACCTTTTTCGTTAATATCATCATTAGAACATCGCTCTAATCCAGGCGTAAAAAATTATAGGGGAAAGAAAAAGTTGGTAAGAAAGAACAAATAGTTTATGTTAGCTTTACAAAATCGATCACAATAAACCAAGGACGTTGCGAAGATTACCCTTCATCAGCACATAAAGAACAACACTGTACACATACACAAATATGCTAGGACAGGTCTAACACGATATTACCACTCGCCACACCTCTGTCCAGACACACACTTCCACTGACGCCGTTCTATATATTCCTAACTGTGTCTTTTTTCAAGCTGGTCATTTGCAGATTACCTAGTAACTTTACACCAACGTCCCGAGCCAGTAAAAATTAATCAGTGGGCTATAGTTTGTCCACTTCCGCGCTAATCGTAGTCTTCCTGGACAGGTTCTCATGCATTATCACTAGTTTGTCAAAGTTAAATTCAACCACTTTTACACACAGAGACGTGGTGGCGTTGCTGTTTGTGCGTCTGCATGCGGAAACAATGGTTTGGGTTCAACCCTCTCATGTGACAAGATTCGTTCCCATCGGTACGTCTCTGGGGCCTACACAGTCTTAAATATTTTTTTTAAAGAAGTTATTAATAAAGGAAAGGCTTTAAAAAAGGTGATTGGTCACTCTACCACAAACGACGGGGTTTCAAATCAAACTCTAAAAGTATGATAGAAGTTACAATAACAATGCCATTGACGACTAGGGTTGTGAAATGCCTTCACTAACCTCTAAACCGCAGTGTCGCGTGCGATAGTGAATATAACAGTCAACACATTTTGAAACGTTATTTGTATCAGAATTTAAATACACAATTTCCTATTGGTTTGGACACGAATATTTCAAATATGATAATGAAAATCACTAACTTGCTCTTTTTTTTTTTTTTTTTTTTGTTCTTCTATTTATTACACATGGATAAATTACACAGAATACAAATGCAGACAGTGAAGAAATTCGTGATTTGTTGTTGTTGTTGTTTGTTGTTGTTGCTGCAGACCATCAATATCTAATACACTACCAAACACAGAATTTACAACACCATATGGACTCCCCACGTCAAACCTGCACACAGTAAGATATGAGAATAAACAACGCGAAAACTGGGATATTGGGAATAGGCAGGAAACATAATAACACGAAAGTTCATGTTAGCGGTCAAAGCTAAAGTCGAGAGGATCGACTTCATTGCACAAAGTTTTATCCCAGATAGCTCGGTCTATCTCCGCAGAACGGCTAGCCACCTGCCGAGAGCATCGCAGAGCACGAACTCCGTACCTCCGGCGACGATGTTAGCGTAATACAATAAAAAAAGTACGAGAAATCAAATATCCAGGAAGAATATTCATAGAGGATGGCAGAAATGAAAGAGAGGTAGAAGCCAGAGTGCAGAAGGCAAATAATGTCATCTACCAGTTAGCCCAACCACTTTTTATTGCAGAACATCCAGGCGGAAAGCGAGTGGAAGACCAAGAAAGATATTGATAAATGGGGAAGCTGAAACCTGCAAAATGATAAACAAATCCACCATTTAGGCCGCTCGAAAAGAGCAAGACAAATACAGAAAACCACAACATTGGGCTTCAACTTGGTATCAATGAGACGAAAAAAGAAAAGGAAGAAGAAAATGCGAATTTAAACTGTGGAACTTTTGGCCAGCAAGCCACTAGTCACTAGCCACTACGCCATCTCGACTCCCTTGTCGACATACAAACCTATTCGTTTATCAACCTGCCCACAGGCAAACTTAAATATTACATACATGCTCAAATACATATAAACGTACATACAAATGCACTCGAACGTGATTACCGCAGAAAGAACAGATGATAAGAAATGCAGCCTTACCAACAACAGTCATGCCTGTCATTTCTCACGAATAAAACATAATCTAAATAGACTTGCGAAATCCCACACAAACACTGGGCTACTTGATATGGAAAATCTGAAGCTGACTAGGTCAAAACCAACGACAGCCATTTCAGGCTGTGTCAACCCGAAAGTCAAGGTCAATTATGCAAAATCCGCCACTAAATGTGTTCAACCCAAGATCTTTGGACTGGCAGACTTATGTGCAACCAGGACGTGTTACCCTGACTGCTATGTCTAAGTCATGTTGTAAAAATCGCAACGATCACGTTCTACAATCATTGTTTAAACACAATCCGCGGATCACACAGTGAATAATATGAGCCTAATCTACACTCGTGAGTACTTCAAACAATGTATTTCATCTAGCAGGTGTTGTATAAATAAGACCCCACTCTAACAATTTCTAGTGGGCAAATCACAATTGAGATCGTTCGTACACTAAGGTAAGTCACGAATGTTATTGCTGGCACTTTTACGTCATTGCAGACGATACTGTTATACCCCCTAGAGGTCGATCATGCAAGCCATGGATAGATGAAATAGTCGAGGCCGTAAATACTAAAAACTACGTAGCACATACGAAGTCTCTCACCCGATGGCTCTTTAAAATCTGGAGCTGTTTGGCAGAACCGGACTAGCGGAGAAGAAAAAGTAGACGAAGAAGAAGTAGTAGTAGAAGAAGAAGAAGAAGAAGAAGAAGAAGAAGAAGAAGAAGAAGAAGAAGAAGAAGAAGAAGGAAGAAGAAGAAGAAGAAGAAGAAGAAGAAGAAGAAGAAGAGGAAGAAGAAGAAGAAGAAGAAGAAGAAGAAGAAGAAGAAGAAGAAGAAGAAGAAGAAGAAGAAGAAGTGTTATACTTCAGTTATGCATGATATACCTTTTTTTGCGATGACACTTTTTATTAGGGGTGTCAAGTGGTCATTCGAGGCGCCATCGTCACTTGGAAGTGACAGGCTAGCTTCCTAACTTTATAGTTATTTGCGTATCCTTCACAGGACGTCGCAGAACCAACCCCAGCATTTTTTGGATGTTGTGCTTTTTCTAGGCATATTTACGTCCAGTAGTTTGCCATTGCTATCTGGACAGTCAGCTTCTTGATACCACTGTCGAAACCAACGCTATGCGCGAGGCCGGCAGCTGGGATCGAACCCGACATCCCGGCATTACAAAGCTCGTTCGCAACGCCTAAGCCATAGACGCCGACATGGTAACTATAGCTTTCGAATGTAATATTCTATTATCTTATTTCTTCACTTCTTTCAACGAGTGACGATCAGTTGTTTTGAGTTGAGTCATTCGTTTTTTTCAAGAACCCAAAATACAGCACTCGGGGCATTCCCAAAAGCTCTCCTTTCATATTTTCAGCAGCCAGCGTAGAATTTCAATACTAATGGTGCCAGTGTTCTGATTAAACGTCCGTCTTGCCTTCCCTCTGAGCGTCGAGCATCTGCCAGAACCCCTCTAACTCCCCGCTGCATCAATCTCACCAGACTGTAGTAATCCATTTGCTCCTCTGAATTGTACACGCTCTCCCACAAGGCCCTAATCACGTCTGCCTTATCATGCATCAGTATTCCACCAAGTTGTGCATAGCCATCCAGCCTGTCCGCCTGTTCATTTCCTAACACACCGGCGTTTTCCAGAGAAAAGATCCGTACAATTACTCCTCACCCGCAGCGAAGCATGCACTCTGCACAAAGCATGCCTGTCCTAACTTTCCTCAGCATACTTTCTGTGTGTGTGTGTGTCGTGTTCTCTAACCAGCTGAAAGCTGCAGTGACCGCCTACAATCTTAAACTAGATGTTGTGGTATCACATGGTAGGCTCTCCTGCACCAAACGTCGATCATTAACTTTTGCTAAGAAACCCCAAGCACTTCTTTTGCCTTTTGACCCTAAACCGTCTGTATAAATCATTACATCCTCTGAGCGAGCATTAT